TCCAACCATCCAACCATCCACCCATCGAACCAGCCATTGCTCCTCCCGAGCTCCGCTCCTGGTGGTATCCGTCAGCTACGTCAGGTGAAGTGCAACTTTTTGCACCTAAGAAATTGTGCCAGGTTCTCTCTACTCTACTTCTACTACCTACTTCTATTCCTATATTTTTTTCCTACTGGAATTTTCAGTAATAAGTTGCCAGAGAAAGCTGCAGAAAGAAAGCTGCACTGGAGAATAATGGAGTTGAAGGTTCAAGCTTAATATTTTAACCCAAAAATGGGGGTTTCTTTAATAAATTCTTAAAGAATCGCTAGTTTTAAGATATATTTCTTTATAATAATTTTCAATTTAATTTCAATTTGTTTCTTTTTTTGCAGTGTACTGTTGACAAGCCCCAAAAAGCGCGGCTCAAAACGTAAACATGTTGAACGACTCGTCGTCGTCATCGTCATCGTCTGACTGGCTTCACCGCACTTTACCACCCAACCACCTCCCTATTTACCACCCACTTTTCCCTATTTTCCAACTATATATATATATTTTTTTTTTGAGTGCATTGACCTCCGTTGGCGCTTCCACATGCCGCGCCGCTTAAAAAAAAAAAAGTTCGAAAAATGCAGCCGGCAAAAGTTGTGCGCGAGTTTGAGGCGAAAAATGGTTGGGTGGAAAGTAGGGGTGGGCGGTGGTGATGGGCGGGATATATCCTGCGCCACTCCCACCTGCCTCTCTAGTGCACCTCCTCTCATCCCTCACCTCACTCCCCTGCCCCTATAAAGCCATCAATTGCTGGCGGCGTTAACATTCTTTAAAGATTTATGTTCAACATTTTCAGCGATTGTAGCTTTGAATGGAGGGCCGCCAGAGAAGAGTCTCTAGTTGGAGTCTCGGTGGAATAAAATAAAAAAATTTAAATATTTTTAAATTTAAGAACACTATTTAGAGAAGGTTTTTAAGGATAGAAATATTTAGAGGCCCTTTAGAAAATGTTTTAATTATAATTTAAAGCCTAGAACTTGGTCTTCTTTTGGATATATTTATTTTTAATTTTAAAATTAATTTCTTTTAAAAATAACTACTAAAATAAAGCCTCTTTATATCATTAAATTGATTTCCTTTTAAAGAAGAGCATTTCCCAGTGCGGTTACTGCTTGAAATGCTACTTATTACGACTGCAGTTTGCCGGTTCTTAGTCAAAAATAAATGCCAAAGCCCTCTCTTGCTGGGTCCTAGTACCTCTTACTACCCCCTAACACCCCCCTTGGCTCTTACCATTTCAATTCGTCCATTTTCCAAGGGCTTTTCATGTGCGTCCAGACGCAAAAGTCAAAATGTGTGGTTCAATGAACGTTGAGTGCTCGGCTGGCCGCCTCTTCTTCCACCCAGAATTTAATGCTGGGCCTTAAAGCCCACCCCCCATATATAAATGGGCGTGGCTCAGACCCAAATGATAAATCTTTATCACTTAGAGCCCAAGTTCTCTGACCAAATTGATTAATTGCCGCAAATAAGCGACTGCCCTGAGCGACGAATGATTGCCGAAACTTTCGCCGCAAATCAAAAATAATCCACAAATTTTCCAGGGTTGCCCAACTTTCTAAAACCAAAACACCCCCATCCCCCCTTCTAGGCCACCCCTAAGCCCTAAACACAAACGTCTGACAACTTTCGTCACGTAGCGTCCATCAAAAGGATATAATTTATCAAAAATTCAGAGAGGGGGTAACCGGCTGTACTTTGGTATTAAATAGAAGAGTCGATGACAAAATACTCCCACCCCTAATTAGAAAAGGATAATTAAAATGGAATGGAAGGAAGAATATAAATCACATTTCTTGTAGTTTGATTTCAAGGTTCTCGAGGTCCTTGTTTCGAGGTCCTTGTTCCTAGGTCCTGTTCCTTATTTATGCAAATCCTGGCGGCGAGTAAACAAGCCGGCTAAACGGCTTAAACCAATTATAGCCCAATGCGGGCACCCCCTTCTTCTAACCAACTTCTCGAGGGTCAAGCGGCAACACTTTTTTAATTAACTTCCCCAACACGCCTGCCTTGCCTGCCCATCCAACTGGATAAAAATCACAAGAAAATTATACATTTTTTTTGTTGTTTCCAGGAAGTGGAATAGCCCGAAGAACTTGGAAATATAATTACCCGAAATTATGCTAATGTCTAGGAAATGAGGGCCTCAGGATGGCGTTGTCTCATCAGGGTAATTAATCCTTGAGAGAATGTTGGGTCATACTCATACCCGGTACTTGTAGGGAAGCCCTTATGGACTCTATATGGCGTAAGGTATTCCTACTACTCTATATAGTAAAGTATTCCTACTTTACTCTGCCATTATTGCACTTTTCATAAACTTTTACCAACAATTTTTACTTCCAGGAATGCATTTTAAGGCAGTGTGACCAGTTGCATCACTAAGAGCTATCGATAAGTAAAAGCTACTGATTTATCGAAATAAATACAGGTTGTGTTGCCTTTCAAAAGATCTCAGAGGATCTCATCAAGTACAGAATTATCTCAGTAGCTTGTGTCTTCAATTTTCCAGTCTTATACTTTTCACAATCTTAAGACTTTAAAGTTTAAACAGACAGACACCAGGGATGCATTAAGAGGTAGCCCTCCGTGCAGTGTGACCAGTTGCATGTTGCAACCTACCAATCGAGAATAGTAGGCCCTGATGGGGACTTTTTAGGCCCAAAAACTGTATATAAGGCGGCCTTCCCTCCATTCCCATTCAGTTGTCAACAGCTCGCCAAACGGTTGACTTCTCACCTCATCTGGTTTCTGATTTAATTTTTTTTTTATTTTTTTTCCTTTAATTAAATGCAGTGGACTCTAAACGGTGTCGATTCAAAACATATATGGGCCTTATTTTATTTTTTATTATTTTTTTAATTATAATTATGCCTGACTCTATTAATAGTTCATTTAGATGCGATGCACAAGCATTTTGCAATGCTATGTCGTCCTGATATTCTTTTCGATGTGGGTCTTCTTACTATTTTATTTTTATATATGGGTCTTCTTAATATTTTATTTATGCGATCGATCTAAAGATATGTCGCTATAGCTTCTTTTTTTTTCTATTCTTTTTCCCGCCGAAATCAGTGGGCTCTACTTTCGGCGCATGTGACGTTCTATTTGGGTCTTATTTTTATTTTTTGTATTTATATAAAATTTTTTTAAAAAATATTTAAATATTGTGATCTTTAGATTTCTATTGCCTTTAACTTTACTTTGGGATAAACCCTGAAACAGTGGGCTCTATATACGACGGATGGGTGGCTCTAGTTTGGAATCTCCTATAATTTTTTTTTTAAATTTGGATAGGGGTGAGTCCGTTGGTGACTTATTTTTCGTAAACTTTAAGAAAAAAATTATAAAAAAAATGTTTTTTTTTTTTAATTACGGTTTTTTTTTTATTTATAGCTAGAAGTAGAAGTGTCTACAGCAGCTATGATCTCCTCTTTTTTAATTTTAAAGACATATTATTTTTTTTAATTTATTCTTCATGAAAATACCCACATTGGCCCCGTACTTATAACGCTGTGCCAGGTGTTCTCTTGGAAAAAAAGAAAACTGTCTAAAAAAATCCACTTTTGTTTATTTATTAATTTAATTTAATTTATTAGCCCCCGATACTGTCGCGAAAAATACGTAAAATTTATACCAAAAATTAAAAAAAAAATTCTTTCAAAATAAAGAGAATAAATAGCACTTAAAAAAATTAAATGATATAACTGTAATTATTATTTAAAAAAAAAATAAATAAATGCAAAGAAAATAAACTTACATACATAAAATTGACTTTTCATTTGGTGGTTCATCTATATGTATGTATGTATGTACATATGTATATTCCATTTGTATTACATACAAATATTTCAGGTAATTGCTGTTGCCATATAACGGTGCTTTACGCTAGAGACTTCTCGGGCCACACACACTCTGTCGCACTCATTCACACGCGCACTGGATGGAGCACCCCCTATGCATTTTTCCATTGAAATTTTGGACACATAATGGCTGCAGGAATTCCACTTGAAAACACTTTTTAAATACTTGCACATGTTGGCTAATAGTTGCACTTAATAATCACTAATAGTTTTCACATTTTCCGCCACAATTTATAGAATTATTAACAAAATATCACACGTGGTTTTAAGGGCACGTCCAATGCGTAGTACGGGCTTGCGGGGAGTGATAAGGAAAGCGCAAAAAAAAAAGAGCAAAGAGCAGTTAAGCTTTACGCCGCCATGAGAGGGAGAGGTCCGAAGTGAACGGATCTTGCGGGCGCAGCTCATAGGTGGGAGATGCACTCTGCACTAGAAGAGAAAGTAAGAGCAAGGGGTGGGAAATTAATGGATCTTGCGCTTAAAGGGTAAGAGCAGGTGAACATACTCCATTTCTCTGGCCTAAAAGAGAAAGGCAGAGCAGAGAGTGGAAAAGAGCTTGGATCTTAAAAGTGGAAAGGGATAGTCTTATAGGTGCCCACTCTTTATTACATTGGCTTAAAAGAGAAAGTAAAAGCTAAGGGCGAAAATTAATGGATCTTGCACTTAGAAAAAGAGACAGCTTGGGTGGGAGTAGGTGCCCATACTCTGGTTAGAAGAGAGAGTAAGGGAGAGGGATGGAATGCTAAGATGTGCGTGGTTTTCCATTACAAGAAATTCAAAGAGTAATTTAAGCAAAGAGCGCTTGTGTAAGAGCCACCCATTTCTTTAATAATTGACTTTTGTTTTAAGAACCCATTAGCCTTGGCGGCCATTATTGTTATTATTATAAGCTGGCTCTTTTTTTTTTTTATTTTTAGACTCGAGTGCTAACAACTTCCCTAATCTCATTATCTGGTATTCACTTTTTTTTCCCCCCCACGAAGAGCTTGAGCTTTTCATAATCTAAGCGGCACTTCCATAAGCATTTTCCCACCCACCCCCTGACCAGATTACCCCTTGATGGGGGAGTACATGCCATCCATATGTGGGAGAAAGAAAGAAAAAAATCAAAACACGCACAATCACGTAGCCAGGCGGCGAAATGTCAAAGTCAATAAAGAAAAATTCGGTTAGCTGGCTGGCTGGCAGTCTTCCCTTTCCAACCGAACAGCCTACAACAAAAATAACAATCGTCCGTATCAGACAGACGACGACATCGAATTCGGAACGTGGCTATAGCCACCAGGTGAGTACCACCACCACCCCTCTACATCTATGTACATGCAAGGATATACTCCCACTCACACACACACGCGAGTCGCATTACGCGCTACTTTTTAAAAGTCAGGCAGAAAAATGTTTTTTAAACGGTAAATTACTTTTGAATGGCAGGTGGGCGGGCCTGCGCATCGTCACGGGGGCGTGGCCCACAGCGCCAGCGTCAGCGTCACAATTTCATTTTGTGCTTCCTCATTTGCCCCACCCCTCAGCCCCCCCCTCTTTGGTTCGCGACAACAGCCGCTTTGTCACCAGCGACTGGAGGGCGGGGTGGGGTGGTGTGGGGGCTGGGTGGCGGGGGGCGGGTGACGCTTTTTTTCGCGTTGCGTCTGAAGAGCGGAAATGCTTATCCCAACACTTGAGCGTCACGTGCTACCGCTGCCGCTGCCTCCCCTCTGCCGCAATCGGCTTACTCTTTTTAGTTTCGGCTTTATTTTTAATATCTTTTTTAAGATTTAAAAAAAAATTAATTTTGGAAATTTTAAAAGTCTACAAAAAGCCTAGGAATCCTGTTTCCAGTTAAGATGTTAGTTGCTAAGCATTTCTTAAAACTTGCCATGATTTTGATATAAAAGAAAATAAAAGCAGCTTTGTTTTTTTTTTCTACATCTTAAATGTAGCATATTTTTTAAACACTTTTTTTTACTTCTCAAGTAAAAATTATTATTATTACTATACTCAAGTAAAGTAAAAATTCAAGTAAAAAGTTAATAATAAAGTTTAATATAAGCTTTCTAGTCTTAATCCTTATGGTTTCCAACATTAAAATCGTATCTATTCTCTTTTATTTTTTACTATTAACCCACACATAATCGTAGCTATATCACTTTTAATATTAATATTTTATGTATATACCTATATTTAGTTACTCTTAATTTACTAAATAAAAAATAAAAAATACAAATGCTTAGTCGCTTAGTGAATTATTTCATTAATCGCCGCCTAAACACATTCTAAAACTTCTAAAACTTTTTAAAATTCATTTTTTCTACAAATATTCAAAATTTTGTTCAAAAAGTAAATCCCAAATTCTAAAATTATGCTATAACTTTCCAAAATTAAATTTTTTGTATTTAATATTAACTGCTTAGTGGCCTAATCGCTTAGTAGATAATTTTTAAACCACCGCCTATGCTTTAAAATTCCTCTTTTTCTTCTCAAATATTACAAATATTAAAAAAAAAAAATAAAACAAGAATTTTTTAATAAATTTTAATCAAAACACTAGGTATTTGTTGGTAATCCCCTCTATAAGAACAACTATTCCCCGCCCTATTCCAAGGACCAGGCCCATACCAAGCCAAACCCCTCCTCCAAGTCGCTAAGACCTCCTTAATGCCTAATGCTTTCGGCTCCTAGGGTATTTTTTTTTTTTAGTCTGTCCGGCCCAGGACTAGGACTAGGTTTTACTTTTTTTTTTTTTTTTTAGAAATAACTGTGCCACGGAGGCGGAGAAAGAGACAGGTATAGAGGTGCAGAATGAGAGGGGAAAGCAGACGCTGTCGCAGAAGCGCCTAAGGTCGTTGTCGCTTATGCTGTTGTAGTTGTTGTTGTTGTTGGAAAAGTGGAAAAGTCGTTGACGGGATGAGAGGAAAATCCGCCACCTGGGAGAGGAGGCTTTGGGGGGGGGTGGAGTGGATGGTTGGTTGGTTGCCCTGTAGGTGTTTTGAATGTTTAGCTCAAGTGGCTTTTTAAAACACATTCTATGCTAATTAAGGGCCGGGCCAGAGCCTAAATGAGTGCCGGCGTTCTTGGCTAAAACGGAGAGTCGGTTGTTGGCTTTTGATAAGCAAAGATTGGCAACAGACCGAGCCAGGACACGAGCCAGACCCAGCCATACCAAGCCAGCCAAGGACCTGCCAATGTAATCAATGGTATAACAGGAAGCGGGAAATGGTTTAAGGAAAATCCTCACCCTCAGCTGGATGCCAACCACCCACCATCATCATCCTCATCCTCATCATGATTGCTTATTGCGTAATCCTTAAAGCGACAAAAATTTCAACTTTGTTGGCGGGGGAGGGGAGTAGGCAGCAGGGGGTAGTCCCATTTAATTAACGAATTAACAAAGCCAGAAGTTTTTGTGGTTTTTAAGTGATTTCGGGCCAGTCTGCGGGATAACTGGGCCGCCAACCAAAAAAAAAAAAAACACTCCAAAAAGGGTAGAAAAAAAAAAAAAGGGTAAAGTCAGTAGAGGAAGTCACAGACGACGACAAGGACGAGGTGCCGGAGCAGGAGGAGGTGGCGGCGGCGGCGGCGGTGGAGGACCAAGTCCCTGGCAAACATTTTGCGGCCTTGTTATGGCATAATTGAATTATTGCCATATGAAAAAACAAAATGGGCCAAGAACCCCGAAAAAATCGGGCCAAAATAAAGAAAAGAAGGAAGGAAAGCCCAAGACGACGACGGCAAACTTTTCTTCAAGTCCTTATTATTTTTATTTATTTTTTTTCCTTCAAAAAATAAATCAAAAGTCTTACAGAGGCCGGGCCGGGCTAAGACCAGGCCGTTGAAACACAAAATTAAATTAGGGCTTTAATTGAGGAGTTTGTGGAAAGCAGGAGGCGGAGGGCAGGTCCTTAAGAGTACTTAAGAGATAGGTTGCAAAAAGTATAAGGTAGTCTATTCGTTGTCATTTCGCTAATCGCTTATCTAGTGTTGTTAAGCGTCAAGTGTTTTGACATATGTTCGAACTTTAAAATATATTTAACCTTTATAGGGCAAATTAATAGGTAAAAGGCAAGTTTTAGCTATAATACTCTTTATACGTACATATATTCATGATAGAATAACTTAAAGGTAATCTTCTTGTTGAAGATGATGTATTTGTCGCTAATCCAGTGTTGTAAATTGTAAATAGATGTGACAAACAAATTTTTAAATATATTTAACCTTTACTTTTTGTAAAAAAATAAATTTTTCTGGAAATTAAAAAAAATTAAAATTCAATATCAAAGCATTTCCGAAAAAGTATTGAATGTCCAAGAACCTCATTTTACAGAATAAGCTTTTCTTGACGGAATTTTATAAGAAAGGTAATAAAGAATCTTTAATTTCATACCAAAACTATAGCGCTTTAAAGTAGAATTATTTTTCTTATTTGTTGCACACATATTTTGTAATAATTTGGTATATGTAGATAATTATTTAATATTCTTAAAATATACCAATGTTTTATAATAAAAAGCAACATACAATACTTTCGTGAATATGGTAAGATATGGCAGCCACATATAGAGAAATTATGTACAGAATTATAGGAACAATCTAAAAAATTATTAATTTTATAAGAGGAGGAAAAAATAGGCCCTTGTCACCATATCAGGGTTAAAAGAAAGCATCTTCCTCAACACTGTTTCACCCACAACCAGTCCATCACAACACTCCCAACTTTATAGTTGTTGTTTCACCAATAAGAGTAGACTAAGACTTGGAATAGGTGTTTCTCTAGTTGGAATTGCATTTTCATATGGGAAATGCAAGTCTCCCAGCATAGGAATAGGGAAATTTTAATGCACTATACTACTATTACTAACAACTATTACGTTTTACCTATTCTCCACAAAAACCTTACCCAACACTATAGCCTTGACATTATTCTTTCAAACACTAAACCCTGAACACCCCATCTAGTAATCATTTCCTTTCGTGTACTCCCCAGGCACAAATCGGTTTCAGCAGCAGACCTCAGTACAATTTTCGGTGTTAGGCCAACAACATCAGGACACGTTTTTACTTTCACATCGAAAAAAAAATTATATATTTTTGAGAAAATTCAAAAACCATATGGAAATCGAGCGATCGAACAGTTACGTATAGAGACACTGGCGTAGAAATACTACCATTATGCTAATCCATTTGGTCATCATGGCTGGTGCCACGTGGGGTTCTATCTTCTGGATGCGGTGGCTGTACCTGCACCTGCTAGAGCGCCTCTTCGCCTGGGTGCGCCATCAGCTGGCGGTGACTCGCCGGAAGCGTGTGCGCGAGGAGCTGGAGCGCCTCGGCCTGGACTCGCAGGAGGTGTTCAGGCAAGAGGAGGAGCAGGTGCAGGAACAGCTGCTGAAAAAAGACATACAAAAACACAAGTCGTACAATAAAACCTATTTGGGATTACGAGGCGGGGAGGGCGGAGATATCAGCGATCTACCTTCGCCGCCCATCAAGAATCGCTTCAACTGCCGCATGGAGCAATTCTGCGACGTTCTATCGGCGGGCTTCAGCATGGTGTTGGAGGACGAGGTGACGCCGCGCTTTGTGGCCGCACCCGCCCCGGCCGGTGAGTGGAACCTTCTCACCCGCAACCTCCGCCAGCGCAAACGGCACCTCAACTGGCAGCTCCGCGCCGCCTGGCTGGCGGCCTGGATCGTTCGCTACCTGGTGATGCTGCCCCTGCGGACCGTCGCCTGCTGGGGCTGCCTGTTGATGATCAGCGTGGTAACGGCGCTGCTGGGCCAGCTGCCCGAGTGGTCCTTCAAGCGCCGGCTGGTGGAGTTGGTGATGCGCCAGTGTTTTCGCATCACGGCTGGCTGCCTGCCGATGATCCAGCGCTTCCACAACGTCCGGAACCGGCCCACCGGTGGCATCTGTGTGTGCAACCACACCAGCCCCCTCGATGTCCTGGTGCTCATGTGCGATGCCCACTACTCGCTGACCGGCCAGAAGCACGACGGCATCCTCGGTGTCCTCCAGCACGCCCTGTCTCGGGTGTCGCCCCATATGTGGTTCGATCGCCAGGAGCTGGGCGATCGGGAGGCCCTCGGCAAGGTCCTCCGCCGCCACGGCACCAGCAAGGACCGACCGCCCATCCTGCTCTTCCCGGAGGGCACGTGCATCAACAACACGGCCGTCATGCAGTTCAAGAAGGGCAGCTTCGCCGTCAGCGACGTCGTCTACCCGGTGGCCATCCGCTACGACCGGCGCTTCGGCGAGGCCTTCTGGGACAGCACCCGGTACTCGATGCTCCGCTACATGCTGATGGTGGTCAGTTCGTGGTGCATCTGCTGCGATGTCTGGTACATGCCGCCGCTGCGCCGCCGGGTGGACGAGACGCCAGTGGACTTTTCGAATCGCGTCAAGGCGGCCATCGCCGCCCAGGCGAACATCGAAGATCTGCCCTGGGATGGGAACCTGAAGCGGCAGGCTCCAGTGCGGAACTGGCAGTAGGAGAAAGGAGCTTGATGCAAGAGCCAGAACGAACGAAGAACCCGAACACGGACACCATGGAGAACGCTAAGAACTCTAAGAAGAACACCCGGTGACAAGCCCAGAGGAACTACTACCACTATTCGCACCTGAGTTTGAGGAGCTCTTTTGGATCGTTTCTTAGGATCATAACCTGTTCACTAGTCTAGTATTTCCAACATTTTGCACCCCCGTTTTGTACAAATTTTTAGCGAATCTGTAGGTCCAAATCCCAGCGAATCCCATTGGCAAATGTTGTCCTTTGGGATATAAGGAAAAAGTAGAAGCTTACAAATTTGCATTGGAACGTAAACCAAGAAGGCGTCATATACCAAGGTGAAATAAAGCAAGTCACTTATTGGAATAAATAATAATATTTGTATTATTTAATTGGGTTTCGGGAAAGACACACGAGAGGGTATCTTTCTTGTCACTCTGGCTCATTTTGAATTATTTTTCAAAGGAACGAATATTTCTTGGCTTTTGAAATAAAATAATATGCTTAAAAGTATAATAATACTTTTATAACGTATACATATGAACTCTTATTAACTTTTAAGAACTCTTATAAAGATTAAGTAATATTTGGAATGCATTTATATTACCTTGAAACATATATGAATTATTTGCTTATGTTAGGGCGTTATACTGAAAGTTAACTCATGTTACGTAAACGTAATATTTATGAAACAACCTTATTAAAATGAACTTTTTTTTTACGTCATATTTCAAACGAATTGAAAAAAGCTAATATCATCTTTTGAAATGATCGCATATGCTTACCTATTGAGTATACATAGGTATAACTTATAATGAACTCCAAAAACGTTAATGCCCTATTTGAATTTAATTATTTTAAATTATATCGTATGCGTCTTATTGAATTAATTATTATTATCAGGAAACATTCGAAATTACCTCATGTTCACCTAAAAACCTTTTACTCAAAGTAACCTAATCTCACGTATACGTAATATGAAAATTGATATGAACTTTTGTTGCCTCTACGTTATATTTGAAGCTTTGTGAACTCATTTAACGTAAACGTAATATTTGCAATAAATTCCATATTACGAAGCCCTTATGATAACTTGTATAATATATGGGTATATAAATATATATATCTTAAGTAATATTCAAAACGAACTTTTATAACGTCCTCCCCATGAAACCCGTGAATCATATGCTTACGTTAAAAAGTAATACTAAAAATGAACTCATATTACATACAATTAATATTTTAAACTAAAGCTTAAGTTAAAGCGTAGATGTTATATTTGAAACCCTTACTAGCTTTTATAACCACCATAACGTATCAAAATACTACGTATTCGTAATATTTGAAATAAAATAACAGGCATTATATTGTAGAAATTTTTAAGAGAAATTTTAGCCACATATTTTATATAGTAATCTGTTATAGTTTCCCATAAAAGCCAAAGGTTTTTGGAGGATACAATAAGGTGAAACTGGTACTGTATGATAAGTAGGTAATCCTTATTTACGAAGCGCAAGGATTATTTTTTAAAAATCCACCAAGAAAATGACTTATATGGTGGACTCTGATGGACTTTTAAGTTGAAACTGACAAATGTAGATGATTATTCAATAAAATGAGAACACCTTCTGCTTAGGATTTTAGGAAAAGATACATAAGCACTTGTAATGTTTTTAAAAGTAAAGCCAACACTCTTTCAATGTTCAAATATTAAAATATCATATTAAATATTTATTTCAAAGCTAATACCATCTACCATCACTAACCGCTACTTGTTTTTTTTTTTTTGTTGGAAAAGACCTACCGTTTGGGCTGAACAATTTTGCGCTCGCCGTGGCGTATGGAGGCGTTGGGTCCGTACCGCCCCAAGAGGGCGCTCTGGGATTGTGAGATGCCACCGGCGGCAGAGGCGGAGGCTGCTGTGATTGCCGCTAGACCGCTGCGGAGCGAGGTGCACGGGGCATGGCCCAAACCAACACCGAGGGCTGACTGCGAATGGACCGCATAGTCGAGACCGGGCAGCTCCAAGGAGGCGATCGGATGGATCCTAGTCAGGGAGAGCGTGCTCTCTAGTACCGTGCTGAGGAGCGGGGCGCTGCGGAGGGATCTCAGGCTGCCGCGGCGTGTTAACGAATCCGGCTTATACATCCGGTACAATGGGAGGTGGCTACCCAGTTAGCCAATCGAGGCCAGAGCACACCTCCTCCCTCTTAACTAACTACCACCTGCCTGTCAGTCACCGGGTGATTTGTAATTGCCGTAAACGGTCCGGTCCGGCTTTGAGGGGGTTAAAAATATATATATATTTTTTTTTTTTTTCAAAAAGGAGTTACTGGGGTGTTGCTTTATGAGCAATTACGCTGTTTATTGTGCAAAACTAGCGGGTCACGCAACGTCCTTTTTTTATTTCTCAGCTTTTCTTAATTATTTTCCTTCTCGTTTGCTCCCCGGCTTATAGTTTGCTTTTTGGACGCTTCTGGATAGCCTGGCTAGCTGGCCTGGACCTTCGATTGTATGCTTTTCCTTTTGTTTGCCTCACGTGCTCCAGTGCCTTGCGTGCTGTTTTTTTTTGTTTGGAAAACCCCAATGATGGTTGCGATGGTTGTGGCGTTTTGTTGCCACAAATGTTTCTACAAATTGCTTGTCGCTGTTTTCTGGCTTTGCTTTGGTGCCTGGGTGGCTGCTTTGCATACAAGATTTGATTTGTCAGATTGCAGATTGCTATTGCCACTGTGATTGAAAGTGGACACGAGGGACTGAACGACTGAACTGACTGACTGACTGGTTGACTAACTGATTGACTAGTTGATTGACTAACAGACATTGTATGTATATGTAGGGACGTCGTGCAAGGATTGCAATTAGTGCAAAACTAATTGATGAATTGCATTGCTGACACTAGTCACTGGTACTAGTACTGGTACTGGTACTAGTTACATAGGCCTTGTTTAATGACTCTGAATTCGCGGCAGCTGTCGGGCTAAGTGATTCATCGAAAGCAACTCTGATGGATGGGCACTTGACGCTAGTCGCTAATCACTAATCACTAAACACTAATCGCTCTCTATTCACTAATCATATCAACGCGCTAATGAGTTGCACGCCTCACCTCGCCTCGCCTTGGCTTGACGAATTTCTTTTCATTTAATGAGAGCATATTGTCGAGAGTTAAGAAATATTTTAATTATTTACATTCAGAGCCCATTGGGAGAACCCTTTTTGGCTAAAAAATGTATCTAGAGATAGTCTGCGTGAAGGGGATTTGTAGATATTTACAAGTTGCTTAGTGCTATTGATTAAAAATACTTTAAAATCTTCCAAATGTTTTCCTAAATCTCATATTTTGCGCCTAAAAGATGGCTATATAGTTAGTATGATCTACTTAGAGGCGGTCAAATATTGGAGAGCTTAAGGAATGCTTTTTTTAAAGAGTAGTTATACAGTTAATACTTCAAATCTCCAACTAAGTAGTTACTATTAGTTACTATATAGTTACTATTTCAAATCTCCAAAATGCTTTCTCAAATCTCCCGTTTTCCGCCTAAAAGTATGCCACCTAATTTGTACAGCATACTGTTCAGTATCTAAAATGGGACATCTTGATGAGTTTTAAAAACAGAGCAAAATTTACAAAATGCTTTTTCAAATCTCCTATTTTGGCGACTAAAAGTATGCTTTGAAAATTTTTTGGTCTACTTTTAGGCTTTCTAGTGCGAGAGATATTAAGAAAAGCATTATACGGAGAGTAACTCGTAACTTTATAGAGTTACTACTTTAAATCAGAAAAATGCTTTTTCAAATCTCCAATTTCAACGCCTGAAAGTATGCACCAAGAAAGTGTATAGCTCTCTTTTGGGCTTCCAAGTATAGGAGAGATTAAGAAAAGTATTTTAAAAATAATATAGACCAACTACTTAATAACTAAATGAAACTCACTTATAGCTATTGAATAAAAATAATGTAAAATCTTAAAAATGCTTCCAAAATTCTCCTATTTTTCCGCCTAAAAGTATGCAATACAGCTTACTTATAGGAGGTTGAGCTTAAAAGAAGCATTTTTCAAAGAAGTCTGTATAGAATTACTACTTAATTATTAAATGAAACTCACTTGTGTCAAATCTAAACGAACGATGATGAACGAACGTTGTTTTTCTTGATAATGGCAATGGCATTGGCAGTGTTGGGGCGTTATGCTGTTTATTGTTGTTGCTTGTTCTTCTGCTTTTTGTTGTTGGTTTTTTTTTTTTTTAGATTCGTTGTTGTATATATATATATATAGTTTATTTATTTTTTATTTTTTTTTTGGATGCTGCAGGGCAGCCCTTGGCCGCCCTCTCACCTTGGTGGACTCTTCTCAGTCGCTCGATTCTTCCCTCGCTGGCTTTTTCAATATTTCTCCGCTTCTCAACACTAAACACTGCACTTTTTTCTAGTTTTTTTTTTTAGTTTTTTTTTTGGATTTGTTTATGAAACTAGTTCTGAATTTGTATTTACAATAATGTCGCTAAGTCGATTGGATTTGTTTGTTTGGTGTTTTCGTTTTTTGGTTTTTATTTTTTATTTTTTCTGAATTAATTATTTTGATGATGGGAATTGCGAGAGTCGAGCTCAGAGGCAAGACTGCATATTATTGACTGACTGACTGACTGATTGAGTGGGTGACTGACTGACTGACTGACTTGATTGATTTGATTGACTGATTTGATTGAGAACCTACGTGAATCGAATCAAATGGGCAACCACCGAGTCTCACAATCGCGATCCTTGCGATACAATCCAGGGCTGCATGTCCTGACAGGGTTGCCAGCTCTTTCTCTGGCCATTTGCCACCGAGTCCAATCCATGGTCCACCGGTTCCTTCGCACCTTCGCCCCTCCCCCGCGCGTTGCTATCACTCACCGCCACTCACACATCTGTCGCCGTCGTCCTTTGTCCTTTTCTCGCCTTTTTATGTTTTCCTCCTCCTTTTACTGCCTAGTTTTAGGCGCCCAATACCGCTCGCTTCGGCGTGAGTGTGTGAGTGATGCGTGGGGCAGCCGTTGACGAAGGCAACCGTTTGTTTTTTCAAAAAAAAAAAAACAAAAAACAAAAAATTTTCAGCTTTCAGTCCTCATAGACACGGGACGACGATCTGTAAAGATATGGAGAAAAAATATAACGATGTTATTAGTAATATATAATGATTTATGATATATGTATAAAATAGGTTAAAGAATTATGTATTAAATTTTATTAAAAGGTATTGCCTACTTTGGAGATTGGAAAACTTTTTATGGAGATATAAGGGCTTAGAAATGCTTTGGTGGTCTTTGTTTTCAAATTTTTCATTTGAAAATAAATTGTTTAT